CTTTTTTATAGTGTTCATTACTTTTATTTTTATACTTTAAGTATTTTTAAAACCAATACTTTTATACTTTTACTTGAGTAAAAAGCTCGAGTTGATACTTCTACTTCCAAAAAAGTATTTTTAAACCCTAGTATCTATACTTCTACTTAAGTAATGAATGTGAATACTTTTGACATCTCTATTACCTTCCAACATAGGTGAAAATGTGGTAATGTTTTTGCCCATAATATTTATATCGGTTAATTTGTCTATCTGTTGGTAAAATATCTCATGAACTACTGGGTGAAGTTTAATGAAACTTGCAGGAAGTAATAATTGGACATTTATCTACAATTATTTCATTTTTGAAGTCAATCCAACTCAAGATGGCAGCAGCAACTCAGTGACCTCTGAAAACACAAAAATGGCTACAACTCAGTCCATTTTAAAGATACTGAGTTACACTTTGGTGTTGTAGTAGCTGAGACTAATTCACAACCCAAACTGTGAGTGCTGCACATTATTGGCATCAGCCCTGTCTGTTAGCAAAATATCTAATGAACTGAACAAATTTATGTAATCACCTAATGTTATATTATTATCATCTTTAGTTTCTACTTTTGTGTGTACTTTTTTTTATTTGAATGAGTATTATTTCTTGCTCTTTGCTATAAGGCCGTTTAAACCTGTTCTAAAATTAAATTAAATTAAATTAAATAAAGAACGTATGTTGCACCCCAAATTGAGATTGCCGTTACTACTAATAACCATCAGACAACACAAGAATGGTTATAACTCAGTCATGTTGTTATCACTGACGGTCCTTCACAACACATATTCTGAGCACTAACAGATATTGCAGAAACTCACAATACTAGTGCATCAATAAACCGGCCAACCTATTTATTGGCACCGATTTCCTTAATTTTGGAAGATGAGAGATCGGCCGATACTTAGATACGTTTAATTGACAAGCTCAGCTTCTCATCTACCTCCACAAAGGTCTGAAAATCAGCCACTGTCCCCTTTAGCTCTGCTGTGAGCACTACCTAATGTCCTGTTAAAACAAGTTTGTATTGTTTTAAGCATATTGTTCAATGGTTTTTCAATAAAATAAGATTGGTACATTGAAGGTATATTATGACCTTATAACACCTGACAGTGTCAGCTATTTAAAAAATCTGAATCGGCAGGTCAGACATTTTAAAGATCAGTGATCAGCCAGAAAACTGTTATCGGTGCACCCCTACTCAACACTGCATTAAGTTAGGTTTGACCAAAGCAGCTACAACTCCGTCCTTTCTTGTAAAGATTTTAGTTTAAAACTCTGGCATGAAAAGCACAGAGTGCTGGAAGACCAGTAGGACGTAATACACAGAGCGAAAAGGAAATACCAACAATATTTCCTACGGCGCAAGTTTTTATTTCCACGTATTTCTGTTTTACCTAACACCCCTTCACACTGGATGATGACCCCACTTCTAAAACCTGCCAGAATGTGGAAGGTCTTTGGCTTGGCGAGGTCTTCAGTGGGTCCTTGTTAACATGATGGAGTGTGGTTGGGCAGTGATGCCTCTGATGTCAGTGTCAATTTTATTTGTATAACACATTTAAAGTTGACCAAAGCACTTCACACTTTACACCATCACTTAAAATGAAGCAAATACAAAAAAAAATGCAGAGACATTCACAGCAAACAGAAAACAAGTTGAGTAAAGCATCAGAGAAATAAGAACTCAAGCTGTATTAAGAAAACAGACGTGTTTATAAAAGAGATTTAAAAAGTGGAAGATGCTTGTCTAATGTCAGAGTAGGTCGTTCCAAAGTTTAGGTGCCACAGCTGAAAAAGCCCCGTCTCCTTTTGGTGCAACYAGAAGCAGCTGATCAGATGATCTCAGTGCCCGGGAAGGAACATAAAGTTGAAGTATAGGTCCAAGAGATATTGCAAGCATTTATAAGTGATCAAAATAATATTAAACTTTATTCTATAAACACACAGGGAGCCAGTGAAGGGAGGACAAAACTGGTGAAATGTGTTCAAACCTACTGGTTCCTGTTAAACATGAAAGGGAGGCCTGACTAAACCCAACCTAAAGTGCAAAACAATAATCCAGTCTGGTTGGAAGGAAGGCATGAACTCATTGCAGGTCTGGTTAAAACAGGCTCAAGCTTAGCTTTCTGCCTCAGCAGGAAAAAACTCTTCTTTACGACAGAGTTGATCTGCTTATCAAACTTAAAATCAGAGGCCAAAATCATCCCCAGGTTAGAAACAGATTGTTTTAGATACGGCTCAAAAGAGCCTAGATTTACAGGGAGAGATCCTGGCAGAACTAKGGCTGAACAAAATCATTTCCATTTTATCATCATTAAAACTTCTAAAAATTAATGTCATCCAGGTATTTCAACAGAGGATTTATAGAACTATTTGTATGTTTCAGGAGCATATAAATCTGACAGTCGTCATCGTAACAATGAAAGGAAAGACCACACTTCCTTACAGGCTCCAGTGGAAGCAGGTATAATGAAAATAAAAGTGGTCCCAGAATCGAACCCTGCGGGACTCCACATGTAAGAGATGCTGAAGTGGAAAAAAATTTCCAACATTTACACAAAGCGTTTGTCACTCAAGTAAGAGCGGAACCACTCTGCTCCTGTAATCCCTACACAGTGTTCTAACCRTGATAAAAGGTTACTGTGATCATCAGTATCAAAACCTGTGGTACGATCCAGCAGCACAAGAACCACAAACTGACCAGAGTCC